GCTTTGCCTGGTTCTCCACAACAGAGACAGGTAAAATAGGGAGAACCCAAGGGCAGGTCCAAGTGGGACTTGTTGAGGCTGGTTTCTCCTATCTGAAGCCAGCTGACAGGGAAAGGGGGCTGGTAAAGGCTCTTGGAAAGGCATTCTAGGACTGGAAAATCCCTGTACCATGTCAACAGCCTTGCCTACCACCTGAGACCAGGCAGAGCAGCAGCCACTGCAGGTGCATTTGGGAGACTCAACTCTACCCACATGGTTTTCCTTATCATTTTGGTGTATTAAATGCAAAACACAAAGCACAGCCACTTTCTTCTAAGACTGAACAAGGATTTCTCTTAGCATATGCAAAACTGTAGTGTCCCTCAAGGTCCTTCACTGTCCCTGCTGGGGGAGTGACTTGCGGAAAACAGGCTCTACAACTTGAATAGAGTTATACAGCAGGTATGTTTACTCTGGCACCAGGTTGCAAGGGGATCTCTCCACAAAGCTTGCACACCCACCACACATTTTACCAAAACCTTATAGAGTGTGAATATACATATTCATTTGTCACGTCCCACTCCGAGGAGGGGGACAAGTGACTCAGATTCGCAAATCCCCAATTGGAGCGGATAACAAGTCTCCAAGTTCAAGCATTTATTAACTACCTACAATGTACTAATTGAACACATGATAATTGGCTAAGTACAGAGCAAGTTGTGGCGAGCAATATAATATGCTTTACATTTCTTAACAGAAAAAGGAAAAGAGGGAGATAGAGGGAATGGGGGAATACAGATCACCATCTGGGTTCCTGCGCTGATCCCGCCGGCGAGGGTTCCAGGAGGCGGCCGTCTTCTTTTTGCTGGCATCCGTCTTCTTTGCTTCACTGCTCTCTCCAGACGGCTGGGGGGGCAGGGAGAGGGGCAGAGAGAGAGAGATAGAGAGCCCTTTCTTCTCCCCTTTGATTTATACCCACTTTCCTGGGGTCCATCCCCTAGGTCAACCCACAGACCTACGTATCCCATGTACAGGGAGGGGTAAGGTGTTTCATGGGATGATGTAATTAGCATGATCATGACAGCCCTCGTTAGCATATTGAGGGGTGTCAACTTTAATATGCATTTCGTGGATAATGAAGCAAAGTTCATTCACCGGACACATGGCCCTTGAAATTTGCTCAGGTGCCCCAGAGAAGAGCCGTCCTGTCTCCACAGGACTCTCTCCCCCAGATACATCGGGCAGCGTTATCAGCTTTGGCCTCCACAGAAAGCACCCTGTGACTCAAGAGTTTTTTCTTGCGAGTGTTTGAGGCATTTCTTCAATCAGCCTCAACTTTTGCTTTCCCAGGCTGTTTGTCTTAGTTTCTCACAGGCCTGGTTTCTCGGCTCTCACATCCCACACCGTGACTCAAACACCCCAAGTTTTTGACCATTGTGATCTCAAAGGGTATAGGGAAAAAAGAAGACAGAAGGTAACAGAGCATATATCTAACTGCTGCAAGTCATACTATGAAAAGCAAAACTTTGCACAATGTTACAATACTAATATTTGCAAGACATCTTCCCCACCCCGTGAGTCCTGAGGATCCCGGTGATATTACCCATGACCCAGGGTTCCATCCATCAAACCAGTTCATTGGTCAAAAAAGTTCTCTGTTCCTGTTGGCAATCTTCTTCATTGTGGCATGGGTCTCCTCTGTAGAGGTGATGGCAGAGGTGCATTGTGGATGGGGATGCAGCATTCTCCCTCAGTCAGACTCGGCACACTGCACAATCCATGTTCCTTCAGCAATGCTAGCTGGATTCTGCAACACCATCCTAGATGCTTGGTGGATCTGCACCTTTAATTCCTTAAAGGTATACCTTATTAGTAATATAAATGCTAAGTTAAATTTTCTAAAACTATTTGAGGTTACACAATCACATTAGAAGGTCAATATGGATTTAAATGGGAATACAATTTAATATTCAGGTACAATTTATTAAAGCTTAATTTGTGGGACCAGACCCCTCCAGTTAGTCTTTGATTATTTCATCTTGCTATTGGTTATATGATATTTGCAAGCACCAGTGTGCAGTCACAGGTGACTCACAGACTTCCTTAATTTTGGAGGTGATTCCCAATAAGGTAACTTAAGGCACAACTCCAGATTAGCCTTCCAATAAGTAGATTCTCCACACTTAGCAGGTATGATTCCACAAATTATATAACAATGTAAGCAGATTGCAAATAATAACTAGCCGATAATACCTATAACTATTGAAAGCACTAAAAGTAACATAGGTCTTTTGTTGTCCAGTATCAATGTCCTGTAAAACAAATATATGCATAACAAAACAATGATGGTTAGAAAGAAGGGACAATCCCCCTGGTATTGATACAGTATTCTTTGAGAAGCAATTACCACCATCTCCTTAGTTCTGTCCCTCCCTTCTTCCGAAAGGTCTGCTCAGAAGCCGGGGGGGGGCAGCTTCCTTCTGCCTTTCCAGGCTCGAATGAGCTTTTCTAAAACTGCAGTAGTCAGACCATCATTAACTCTCGGGGAATTCCAGCCCAATAAGCAGCTTGTTGAATTAACGACCACAGTTCTCTCTGGTCCTCAGTAACTAAGAAAACCCCTGGCCCCCAGTACCCCTGGGCCTCATCTTCTGATAACAAAATTCGGTCACCACCAGTAAAAGATACCCTCCACACATATTCAGTTTCAGTTTCCTGAGCTCGTCTGGTGTATTTCTCCTGAATTTTAGCAAGCTCAGTTGCTGGGTACGGTGTAGTTTGAGTGGTGACCTGCGGAGCTCTTCCACCCTGACCCTCAGTGGTCTCCGTTTTAATTAATGGTCTTAAATTTGCCCCCTCATTTTCGGGGTAATAATTCTCTCGGCTTATCTCTAAATCCTTTGTTGGATGCAAGGGTCTGGCTGCTGATTTTGCCAGACTTGTAACTCCCTGTTCACTATCCGGAACAGAGCCAAGATCTGTCTGGTTGCAAGTTTCTTGTTCATTCCCCTCCTTTTCAGACCGTGAGATTTTTTCTCGGTCCAAGGCATCTAACAGAGCTGTGCGAAGTCGCTGAGTGGTGTTACGCTCATCAGCTAATTGGCTTTTCAAAACTTCAATTTGTTCTTGCCAGAGTTTAGCTTTTTGTTCAGTAACTGTACGTTCCTCAACCAATTGATCCTGAAGAGCTTTAACCAGATCTTGTAGGGATTAGATCATTTCCCTTTCCAATTGTTTCTTAACATGTTTATCTTTTGGGGCTGCAGTCAGTGCTGCCCCTAATACAGCACACACTACAGCTTTTCCTTTGCCTGGTCGCGACCCTTTCACCCCTGCAAGCACACTGATATAGCTCGCCACTGCTTCTGGATTTTGCCAATTATCGTGGGCCCAAACCTCTACTAAAGGAGGAGGACAAGCCTTATACTCCTTCAGCTTCTCAAAAATAGGGGAACAGTCAAGCACTGACATTTCCTGGCCAGTCATGGCTTGCAACTGCTCGAACCTCTCCCAGCTTAGAGCTGAGAAGTCACTTCCCTATTCTCCCTGTCCTTATCTGATAGAGAATCAGTATCCCTCCAACCCTCTCTCAGCTTAGAGCTGAGGGGCCAATTCCCAGTTCTCCCTGCCCGAGTTTGTCGGATAGAGAATCACTATTTCACCAGACTTTCCGACACCGAAGGGGATCTTGCCGATTACACCAATTTAATGTCACATCCCACTCCGAAGAGGGGGACAAGTGACTCAGATTCGCAAATCCCCAATTGGAGCGGATAACAAGTCTCCAAGTTCAAGCATTTATTAACTACCTACAATGTACTAATTGAACACATGATAATTGGCTAAGTACAGAGCAAGTTGTGGCGAGCAATATAATATGCTTTACATTTCTTAACAGAAAAAGGAAAAGAGGGAGATAGAGGGAATGGGGGAATACAGATCACCATCTGGGTTCCTGCGCTGATCCCGCCGGCGAGGGTTCCAGGAGGCAGCCGTCTTCTTTTTGCTGGCATCCGTCTTCTTTGCTTCACTGCTCTCTCCAGACGGCCGGGGGGGCAGGGAGAGGGGCAGAGAGAGAGAGAGATAGAGAGCCCTTTCTTCTCCCCTTTGATTTATACCCACTTTCCTGGGGTCTGTCCCCTAGGTCAACCCACAGACCTACGTATCCCATGTACAGGGAGGGGTAAGGTGTTTCATGGGATGATGTAATTAGCATGATCATGACAGCCCTCGTTAGCATATTGAGGGGTGTCAACTTTAATATGCATTTCGTGGATAATGAAGCAAAGTTCATTCACCGGACACATGGCCCTTGAAATTTGCTCAGGTGCCCCAGAGCAGAGCCGTCCTGTCTCCACAGGGCTCTCTCCCCCAGATACATCGGGCAGCGTTATCAGCTTCGGCCTCCACAGAAAGCACCCTGTGACTCAAGAGTTTTTTCTTGCGAGTGTTTGAGGCATTTCTTCAATCAGCCTCAACTTTTGCTTTCCCAGGCTGTTTGTCTTAGTTTCTCACAGGCCTGGTTTCTCGTCTCTCACATTCATTGGATTACGTAACACAAACATACATATGCATGAGTAAGGCTGGGTTAGTTCTAGAGGCTGGTGTCAGCAGTTTATGTTATCTTTGCACCTGCGCATTGCCTCCTGGTGGTAGTCTTCAGAGGTCTTTGGGAGGAAGGCTCGTAGCCTTTCTCACCTTGTACTTTTCTCCAGAGCATGCACAGATTCTCTTGGCCAATTTCTTGAATAACAAGAGTGTTTTTCAGCTGGTTTATACATTCTATCTTATCTAAGAGAACTAATGGAACTTCTACCATCACTATATCACCAAGACCCAACTAATTAGAGCACATCTGTTTTCCAAGGACAAAACCATGACATTTTGCTGAACACTGCAGTTCTTCGTAGATTTTCACAGTAAACTGCTTTGTTTTGATGAACACAGTAGTGCTTGGTAAAATTCCACAGAACAGTCTGTGCAACCAGGATTCTTAGCAATATTCAAAAATACTGTAAGTTGCTAAGCAGTTTGCTATAAGTAAGTAAGTCTCAAAACAAGTAATCATTTCTCTATATCAGGAGGGAGCTCCTGCCTGGACCTCTTCCTGCCAATACCCTGGCTCTGTCTGAAGGCAGCAGTACCACAGGCAGCAGGCAGGAATATCTCTTCCTCCCCGAAGATGTTTTAACAGTCATAAGAACATCCAGGCCCCCTATGGCACAGACTAAAGGCACAGGCATTTTCCTCTTTATTTCTTTATTACTCCCTGTACTGTGAGATATTTGCATAGGTGAGGAGAAAATGAAAACTGAGGCAAGAACTAGGCAAGTGATCTATCAGAGAGCTCACAGAGGACAGCAGCAGCAGACAGCAAGGGAAAGCAGGTGTCTTACTGCCTAGTCTCTACTTGCCTCCCAGGCCAGCTTTGCTTCTGCAAAGGATGGCTGAGGTTGTGCAGGACACGGGGAGGAGGACAGGGTTTGTAAAAGCTGATGCATTAGAACTGCTTAGTTAATGTGGTGCTGTCAACTGCTTTAGAAACGAAATTGCCATTGAGTTTTGCAAATTAAATTACTTTAATAACATGCAGCCAACACAGCATTTCCTACAGCGGAGCAAAAAAGTGCAACTTAATGGTATTTCCATCATGATTAACAGAACAAGATGGGAGCTCTTGCAGCAAGTGGCAGTGTGCTGTGATATACCCCACAGAGGCCTTGCCCTCACACAGGTAAGCTGTCACAGCAGCCCAAAAATACAATTTCTAATATACCAGCTTAGCAAAGCCTCCGCGCAGCAGCAGTCCCAGTACCTAGGCCTGGAAATACAAAACAGCACCTTGTCCCCACATCATTACAGGAGCTTCAAAGAGCCATCATACACTCCAAAGGTAGCACGGACAGGATAGCTTCCATCGGAGCTCAATGACTCTATAAACCTGACGCTCACATCAGGATCTCCATCCTTGACAGACACGTCATAAAATGACAGTGTATCTCTTCCACAGTCTAGATATAACCTGATCACTTTGAGGGCTGTAGTAAATTTCTCTTCTTTGATCGGTATAAAACTGTCAACCACACGCAGGTAATCATGAGACCTTTCCAGGTACTGCTCAAATGTCTGATGAATGATTCCGAGCTTCCAGGATGTCGCATTGCTGGTGTCCACCTCCCAGAAGTGACAGCCCTCTGAGAACTTCTGGTCGCTGAGTACATGTGGGAGGCCCTTAGCTCTTGAAGAACTGACTGAGGATGGAGTGACTTTCTTGCAACTGCAAAGGATTTCATTTTTCGAACGTACTGTAAAAGTCAGATGTTCATGAACTATAGAAAGAAAAAAACACCTTAAGATTAACAGATAATTGTGCAGGTGTGCATACATCCCCATTGCTGAAGCTGGATTTCTCAATCCAAGTCAATCCAAGTCATCCAATCCAGGTCCAACCCATCTAAGTCATTAAAAGCATATGTTAAGTGAAACATCTCCTGCACCTCTCTTAGCTGCTCTTATGTCATTCTAAAGGGGGTTGGTGATATACATCGAGAAATGCTGCTCCTTCACAATTTTAAAGTGTCTTTTTGCTTTTTGTTTCCAACTACTACAACTCTTAGATTTTAGTTTCCCATCATTGTCCAGCAGAGCTTCATCAGGCCTTTTTAAGAACTTTCCAGCTTAACTTCCACGTACAAGAAATGTGTGAACAGCAGCACAGCCATTTTATAAACACTTATTTGCTTAGGATCATCTGAAGTTATTTTCTAAAACCCTCAAAAATTCATAGTACAGCCAGTCACAAGCAGTTAATTCTACACTCAGGAAGTTGCAGCATGTTTTTATTTAGACCTCTCTTGCACATAATGCATTTGGATATTGTGGTATTTTTCTGCTCTGGAAGTTATTAATTCATGAAACTGAAACAGCAGCAGTGACTCGGGCAACCAACCAAAATTGCACAGATGCCAGAGGAGAACCTGGATCTCAGGCTTTCTAGCCAGAATAGGTCTAGACTATGTGTACAGGGATGGTAGAGGCTGAGCTCAGGAGCGGTCATGAGCAGTGTGCTTCTTGGTGTACTCAAGGCTGTGCAGATAGCAGTCAGGTTGGTGTGCATACCACACACTGTCACGCTCTGGACAGAGCCTTCCCACCCCAGCTGTCTCTTGGTCTTGACCCTAGGCTCACTGTCATCAAGGGCTCAAGCACCATCAAGAGAGCATTAATAAGGGAACCCTCATCTTTCTGATTCACTTGTACAGGCATCCCACCGTGCAGAGCATCGAGACTGTATGCTCATCTTACAAAACACTACAAAAGCATAAAATTATTTACAAAGAGTAGATTATTTATGGCATAGGACAAACTCCACCTGCCGCTGTTGTGATGAGCTCTTAACTTTCCCCGTACTTTCAATCAAAGTGATGCTACAGACAGAAGAGGTGTTGCCATTCTCTTCTCTTAGTCCTCCCAGAAAAGTCCTATGACATGCACACCTCTTTACACAGAGCCCATTTTAACAGAGTGTATTGTCCCAAAGTGCTGAAGCCCAGGACGAGCACCCTTTTAGGTACACATGTGAAAATAATCACACAATGTTAGCAATCAGTTCTTCTAGAGGTACTTGGTGTACTGGATGTCTTATTACAATATTTTTTTAAATATGTTTTGGTAGCTTCTCCATCCTGCTTGTCACATAGTGAAATGATCACTTACCAGGTAATGTTTTAAGTAAGAACTTCACTCTTGAGAAGAAATCCTCCAAAAACCTTAGAGTATTGTTTGTTATTGATTCATCCACAATAACAGGTAGCATTGGCAATTTTACACTGTCTGCGTCAGGAACTGGCTCACGTTCCCTAAAACATGCAGAAAGACATCAGAAGAGCTGCAAGTCATCAGAAAACCATCACTGAGCCCATCCCTGAGTCAACAACTGCATCCCCTACTCCATACCCAGCCTTGGTAGGAGATACAGAAACCGGCTTCTAACCTTCCCTCCCTCTGCAGCTTTACCAGGGACAGCCCCTCTGACTGATCTTCTCCCAGAACCCCAAATCTCTTGAACATTGTTAGGATCAAGTTCACTCCATGGATGCCACCTGTCCCCAGAGGAATGGTCTCAGTCCCCTCAGCCTCGGCTTTTGCCAGGACAGACGCTAGCATCATGTTTGAGGTTACACACAAATCCCCAAAGCAGGAGCTAATGAGGTGTGGGGCAACCCCTGGGATGCTGGGACAGCAAATGAGAGGTACTGCATTATCACAGCCAAGGGGCAGCTGATGCAGCTGAAATGCAGGGCTGGGGAAAGGCCAGGCTGGGGGAGACTGTGTGCATGCAGTGGTGGGCTGTGGTGGAGGAACCGTGCCAGGCAGGCACTGGGGGAACAGCTCAGCAGAAAAGCCATAAACTTTGTAGACTTATGACTTCACTGCATGTTTTGGCTTCTGTTGCATTTGCTTCTTACAAGCAGAAGGCAATGCCAGCTGGAAGACAACTCAGGATACCAAAGCTCACCCATCCTTCGCATGCACACCCAGGGACCTAAATACTCAGGACTTGCCCTCAGAATGGGTGTCAAGAACAGGTGCAGAGGGTACAGAAAAATAAGCTGTCTTGTATAGGAAAAGTCACACATGACCTCGGTTAATATTTGGGGGCTTCTCCAGGTCTCTGATAAAGCAGGCTCAGTGTGTGCAGGCAGCGTGCCCAAGGGACAGCCCGGGTGAGCCCGGGAGCTGTGGACCTGCAGTATGTGGAGGCTGGGCTAGCAGACCTGCACTGCTGGACTATCAGTCACCGGAAGCAACATGTAATGCAGTAGTAGACCATCTCAGGAAGAGCTTACCTGGCTTGAATTGCTGCAAAAGCCTGTAAAAGATATTTTGAAACTCGAATTAGCATTGTGCAGGCCAAGGCCAGCCCAAAGGCTGAGTGTCTCTGGGAAGGGAGATGCTGTTAGGTACCTTGACAAAAAGAAGGTGGTCTTTCTCATCTCTCAGAACCTTCAGCTCCTTTATGTCACAGCTGACTGTGTCCTTCATCTCTTTGTATTTTTGTATCTCACTCCGAATCTGAGAAAGCTGTTCCTCCTTCCTCTGTCTGAGAGCTTTCAGGACCTCTTCTTTTTTGTTATTGATCTGCAGATGCACCTCTTTGTAGAGGCTCTCCAGCTGACTTTTCTGCATGTGCTCCATAATCTATTAAGAAAACACTTTCAAAGCTGTTAGGGACTGAATCTTACACTTTACACGCTAACTCTCACTTGTGAAAGAGCCGGGTCTTTTCTGGGCTGAGAAAAGTAACTACTAACTTCGTGCCTCTCTCTGTGACTACAAACCAAGATATCCCATTGAGAGCAGAAAGACCAAGTGACTCAAGTGGCATTCCCCAGTATCTGGCACCTTACGAGAAAAAGACAAAAAAGTAGTGCTTCTTGCACGATGCTTGCTGAAGACTTTGCACTATACATGTATCTCCTTGTTCTGCATGAATATTTTTCTATGGATAGATTGCCTTTGGTCCTTTTAAGGATGGTAAGGAAAAACAATTTCTCTGCTTACTGCCTCCACCAAGCTTCCTACACTGTTTAAAAGCAGCTGCACTTCCAGACAGAACACTGCCAACAGGCACCGTTTTGTTTTCAGACTAGAAGGAACATTTCCTTTGCCCAGTGCCAGAACTTCCAGTCCCATCACTTTTACTGGTGAAGGAAGGCAAATGCCAAGCAGAATGAACTAGGATTTGGAAACCTGCATTAAATTCCCTGCTCTTCCAGAGCTTTTAGAGATGGATTTGCATGTTGGGAGCAAAAATCAGACACATTGGGGCAATCTTTTAACCTCATTCCTACTGACTTCTTAGAACCACAGGCTAACCAAAAATTGAGTTCTTGTTGTAAAGTGGAATGCTATCACTATAACATGGTCTGTATCTTTTCCATAAATATTTTGGAGTCTGCAAACTGAATGAGGTTGACAAAAAAAGAAGCCAACCACCACTCACCAATCAGGAGGCATGGACTTAACAGCAACTTTCAGGCTCAAAAACCCTCAAAGACAAAACCTAGATAATATCTGAGTAACCAACTAGGAACTAAAAAAGCTTGGACCATGCAACAAACCTGCAGTCCCTCCTCTTGTTTCAGCAGGTTTTCTATGCTTTGTTTCAGCTCAGCTTCATGGCTTTCCACTTTGTTCAGAGTTTCATGAAAAACACTCTATAAAAATAACCGGAGAGAGATATCAGGATAGGACCAACATACGTGCATGAGATCAGCAATTTTATGGAAATGGGTTAAGCTATACCTGCAAGAAGTTTGTTCACTGCATGCTCTCAGGTCAAATCAATACATAAAGGTTTACTGGAAGATTTTGTCCCTGACCACTGCCACAATTATGAGCACAGGAAAGACATTTTGAAACTGAAAACTGTTCGTGTGCGAGAGTCACATATAAAGCTACTACCTTCAGTGCCAAGAGCTTCTTTTCTGTTACTCTGTCATTAATTTTCATTGCATTAAATGCAGCTCAGGCTGATCTTCTGGCTTGAAAGTGCACTGAGGACTAAAAGCATAGCCACAAGCACTCGAACCCACTAGTTTGGCTCCTCAGGATGAGAAGAAAGTGTTTATAACATCTTGTTTTATATGCTGAGGGGCTAGCCCTGAGGGAAAACTAGGAATAAAGTAGCTCAGTATCCCAAGATAGAAATTTAGCCCTATCCTGAGTCTGCGGATCTGGAACTTGGGAGATTTTTTTTTTATCCCTGTGCTGTGGGCAGGTCTCTGTGTCGCAGACCCCCATAGTTTTCCTAGTGCAATCCGTGCCCAGGCTGCTGTCCTGGCAGCCTCTTACCTGCGCTCGGCTAAAAGCCTCCTCCAAGGTGATGATCTTGTGGTTCTTGTGGGAGGTCATGACACAGCACAGCATGCAGATGCAGGCCGAGTCGGTCTCGCAGTAGCACTCCAGCAGTTTGCCATGCTGGGGGCATCTCCTCTTGGCCAAAACCTGAGCATCACAGGGCTCCATCAGGACATGGTCTTTCGAGGGGCTCTTTGTGTTGTGCCTGGTCAGGTGGGCTTGGCACAGGGAGGCCTCGCAGCTCAGGCAGGTCTTCGCGGCCGGCTGGGGGTCCTGAAGGCAGAAATCGCACAGGACCACCCCATCTTCCTGGCCCGAACCTTCCCCCTTCTCTTCGCGTTGCACCTCAGGCTCTTTCTCCTCTTGACGAGCGGGAGCATCCAAGAACCTCTGCGCGATGCTGCGCAGCTGGACGTTGGGCTGCAGCAAGGCGGCCGGGTCCGCGCGGGCCTGGCACAGCGGGCAGCTGAACGGGCCCTGCG